AAATTGTTGGAGTCTCACTAGATAAAACTCTAGAAGTGTTTGTTTCCATTGGGATATTGTAGTCAATACTTCATACTGTTAGAATTTATTTCCAGAACATTAATTAGCCTGATTCCTTAACCATTGAAAACGTTTACAGTGTTTACCCAAGATCTTATTTGGTAAAGTCCTCTGCATTATGTTTAATTGTCATAATAAGGATGTTGCTCTCTTGAATGTTCTCAAAGAAGGGAAATCAAGAAGTTATTTCAATTAAACAATAAACCATACTCATCTGGCCTTCACCTCAATAAACTTACAACCTGCGTAGTACAGAATGGTTAGGGATATTTAATCAGAATGTGTTATATAATTCACAACATTTTAGTAGAACAGTTCACTTTATATGATTCAGTGCTACAATACATCTAAGAGGACATATACTGAGGATAAAAAATGAAACAGCTTGCACAGAAATTCGTGATAGCGTTTTCATGGTTATAATCTGTAAGTTGTAGGATTCCTTACTAGAGTCCATTGTAACGACACTTGTAGCATCTCTCTTCCACTTAAGTATGTTTACATTTAATTTGTCAAACCCTTCAATTAAGGGTGTTATTCGTACAGTGATAATATTTTAACATCAACAGTGAGAATAAACTTAGAGTTGAATTACACAATTAAGTAAACAGAATGTGCCCATAAACACATTAAATGAGAAGGATTAGCTAAGCGAAGTGTTCTCTTTCGGCCGAATTCATTTTCAAAGCTGTTCAATCACAAATATATACTTATTTTTCGAGATGATAATCATTACAATAATAATGATAATAAAATGCTGTTAAACATGGTAACAGTGAGATAGAATAAGTAAAACTTAAAATCTTTCTTTTTATCAGGGGAACTAATAATAGTTTTATCTAATAGATGATTTCATGAGTTAATTAAAGCTAGACCATCATGGAAAATCTGGAATCACTGGATGGCCGTTTCGTCCTAGTACGGGACTCCTTATCAGTGCACATCCACGATCGCGCTCGCAGAATTTGAACCCAAAACCTTCAGTCTCTTGTGCGTCTAACTTCGCCCAGTCCACGAAATTGAGTCGCAATTCACCATTGTTTTCAGTGAGTTGCTATCTCAAAACAGACCTGTTTGAACTCCACTGATCTCGGATTATCACTAGAACTTCAGGAAATATGAATGTACACTGATAAGGAGTCTCATACTCGGGAGAAACGGCCGTCCAGTGCTTTCAGGTTTTCCATGATGGTCTATCTTTACTTGATTCATGAACTCAATTATTAAATCACTACAATCCCCACAAAACCCCTTTTTGATAATAGTTTAATTGTTAAGGTCTTGAATACTCATCATGAAGATAGATAAAAAAAATTATTATTGAGAAAGGAAGGCTCAGCATCATAAGATAAAATATTGAAATTCAGATGAATTGTAATCAGGAGGATCATAGAAACAGAAATAAAACAGTTGGGGGTAGAACGTCGATAGCGGAAATAAAAGGGGAAGCAAATGCCTGTGAAGGAAAAAAAGTACGATGAAGAAAGAAAATTGTAAGAGATTAAGACCATAATAGAAGAAAGGGTTGTATCACCTTCTTTTGAATACATATTGCTTATTTTCCCAGATATATATATATATGCTTCAGCAATATTAAGATGCAATATAACTGCGTTTGGTAGCCTTCTACTTACCTTGTAAATGGATTTAAATGCAGAGTCTGCTTTGTTTGAGTGACATGTGTTCACAAGAACATCGATGATTAAGCTTCTTGCTTTGTCGTTTCCACTTCTTTTTAGTCATGCTAGGTAATGTTCTTAAATTCTTTTGGGTCAAGTACTCATCGAATGACCTATATATCTGGTTACATATAAACAGGTAGATTGATCATTCGATTGTAGATGACCGACGTAGATGAAGTATGCCGAATACTTGGAGGTCTACTCCTGTTAGACAAGAATGGTGTGACCAACAGCTAACGTTTATATGACACTTCACAGTCAGCACCTAATGTGGATTATCCCTTCGTCGTATCAAGCTACTATGGATGATTGGAAGACCGTACAATACAAAGGACATTATTGAGGAAATATATAAGTAAGAATGAGTATAGAGTAGATAGTGAGACCACCATCACATTGGCCAGTCCATGGCATACAATTAACTGATGCGCGTTGGTTGTCCTTAACTTTGACAGGGATCGATGATCTGTTCAATAATCAGTGACCGAACTATTGAATGATTTGGCTATGAGTCATTGACGTTTCACCTGCCGTAAAGCATACAAAATTGGTCAAGTGAGATCATTTTGATGAACATTGATTGACTGCAAAACATTAATCAAAAACATACCGCTGATAATGTTGGGTTTAGAGAATTGGAAATTCTCTTCATTGAGACTTCAGTAACTTTCTTATCTTTGAAATTGATGTTCATATAAAGCGTTTTTCTTTGGATGTTTTGGTCATCGAGTTTTCATCGTTCTTCTTTTGAACGACATCATCATTAACATAAACTTTAGATAGAAGTTTTATTACTTTTATTTATTCTACTTCATTGTTACCATGTTTATTAGAATTTGAAAATTACAATTCATTGACCATTGGAGAAAGAATATTACATTTTAATATGCAAACAACTAAATACGTAGGTGGTGTAACAGACAAGCACAACACAATGTTATGTGCTTTACGGTATAAGAAGAAGTTATGTAACAACGTTACTTAATTTAGTAGTAGATAGTAATAGTGTAGTGAACAGAACACAGGTGGGGACAACTGGATTGTATTTGGCTAGAGATTACACCACATATTAATAAAATTTAACAACCATATAGTGAATCGTTAATTTGCAAAATATCAATCCATCATATCAAACTGGACGGTTTCTGTTGTAAACATCAATTGATTGTCTGACATTTCATTGTTCATTAGTTTTTATATAAATTCCATTGTGTTCCCACTCTTCTTTTCTTGATCTTCTCCCATCTTCTGCTATCAGACATTACGTGTTTAACTCGCGTCATATACTACTTATTATATCAATATAAGTAGCACACCACAATAATAGTAAGGGTGAGTTTCGATAAGTAACATCATTTCTAGTGAAGCATTATTCTAGTGATAAAGATTCCATGTTTAAGACAGAATAATAAAATTATGTTTATGGTTAAATGAGTGAATATAGTGAGAATGTTGTAGCGTCAAGATAATTTCAAAGTTCAATGAAATAGCCATAATCAAAATTTAATCATCATTCTTAATTTTACTTCCGACATAGAAAGTATTTGACTAGATATATATAATCAGATTGAAATATCACACTAAACACCATTGAACACAAGAAAACTCAGTTAGTGTAATATATATAACAGATAAATATACTCACTAATGACTGTCTACAAGAGGTATTTCCTGAAGTTCTGGTGAGAAACCGAGATCAGTGGAGTTCATTTGTGTCCGTTATGAAATAGTAACTCATTGAAGACAATGGTGGATGTGTCATTAAATTCCATGGATTAGTTGAAATTAGACCGTTGGATGCCTGCTTAGTGGTCTAGAGGTTAAGTGTTTGCGCGCGAAACCGACAGGTTCTAGGTTCGAATCTCGCGAGACAGGATCGTGTATGCGCACTGCTAGGGAGTCCCTTACTAGGATAAAATGGCGGTCCAGTACTTTCAGGTTTTCTATGGTGGTCTATCTTTAATTGATTCATAAATTCAAATATAAAAATAAATATACATCCAAAATAGCACACTTCTAACTAACAGCACGATAGGCACTCAACAAAATGTAAAGTCAAAAAGTTGAATTTATTGCATAAAAGCCAGATTAATAATAATAAAATATGGTATATCAGTCCTAGAAATGAATTTCTAACCAAAACGATAATTTTCACTGGTTGAAATCATGAATCCATTGAAGCTAGACCACCATGGAAAACCTGGAAGCACTGGACGGCCGTTTCGTCCTAGTATGGGACTCCTCAGCAGTGCGCATCCACGATCCCGCTCCTCGCGAGATTCGAACCCAGGACCTATCAGTCTCGCGCCAGGCGCTTAACCAACTAGACCACTGAGCCGGCATCCAACGGTGTTAATGTCTAACTTCAACCAATCCACGAAGTTGCGCCACCGTACACCATTGTCTTCAGTGAGCTGATATCTCACAACAGACCTGGTTGAACTCCACTGGTAACGGCTTCTCACTAGAACTTCAGGAGTATCTCTTGAAGTCAGTCACTAGTGAGCAGATGATTATTATTATCAGAAGGGATTGTGTGGAGATTTTAGAAATTTTCACTGGTTGAAATCATGAATCCATTGAAGCTAGACCACCATGGAAAACCTGGAAGCACTGGACGGCCGTTTCGTCCTAGTATGGGACTCCTCAGCAGTGCGCATCCACGATCCCGCTCCTCGCGAGATTCGAACCCAGGACCTATCAGTCTCGCGCCAGGCGCTTAACCAACTAGACCACTGAGCCGGCATCCAACGGTGTTAATGTCTAACTTCAACCAATCCACGAAGTTGCGCCACCGTACACCATTGTCTTCAGTGAGCTGATATCTCACAACAGACCTGGTTGAACTCCACTGGTAACGATAATGTCTAGCTCGAAATAATGACAGTTTTTAGAAACAACCACAACGATCATCACAACAACGACAACAATAAACCACTACTACTACTACTACTACTACTACTACTACTACTACTACTACTACTACTACTACTACTACTACTACTACTACTACTACTGTTTGCTTTACAAAAGTCGTATGTACTAATCGATAGTATAACTGTAATGTGTAAATATGCACTAAATGGTAGACCTTTAAAAATAGAATAATACAAAAACATTATTCATATCAGAAGGGGTTTTTTTGTAGAGAATTGGTAATTTCAATAGTTTCGGTCGTGAGTCATTTGAAGCTGGCCACCATGGAAAACCTGGAATCACTAGGCGGCTGTTTCGTCCTAGTATGAGACTCCTCAACAGTGCGCATCCACGATCCCGCCCCCCCCCCGCGAGATTTGAACCCAGGACCTATCATATCAGTCTCTTTATTTTCATCTAAACAGTTAATCCATGTTAGTTTGTTCATCTTGTCGTTAAGGTTCATAATAGTAAACCACAATCTAAGTGTTAGATATCAATAGTTTAGTGACAAAATACATATATGTCTTGTATGATAATGTCTATCCCGAAAATTCCTATTTTCTGTTTATTTGTATCTATAATGTGTGTGTGTGTGTTTATGATGTGCATATGATTTTCGTTTATCATTTGCACATATGATATAATAAGAATAGGAAAAGGGCAAATAAATAAAGCCTATCTAATATGAAATGTGTTAATTTCTATTCAATATGTCCTACATTTTATTCTTGTCATAATGATTGGTTTTTAGGCTATAAATGAAGGGAAGGTTAAATGTAATACAAAATCAATCTATAATCGATTAAGCCAAAAAAGGATAATATATAATAGTAACCATGGATGAATGATTATTTTGATAAGAGGAAGGGGGGATGGGCACATAAATAATTTAGAGAAAAAAACAAAAAAAAAACTTTCAAGGTTAAAACAGTAAATATTGATAGAAAACTTTACACAATTTTAAAAGGTGACTATAATTTTGTAAACGAGATCTATTTTCATTATAAAATCTTTCATCAAATCAAGTAAATCTTCTTCTAAACTCTGCATTAATTCATACCGAATAAAAAATGGCTACTCGAATGAGCGATATGGGTATGGATGTACAAATCAATCGTCGGGTAAGTTAAATACCAGATTATTCTTAATTATGATACCATGGGATAATAAAAGAAACATTAAATTTATTTATTTATATATTTAAACATATAAATATTGGTACAAGAAGGCAATAGATAGATATGTTCTGGGATATTGGCCGGGTACTCACGCCCGGAGACTTTGACAATGGAGTAATGTCAGAAGATGTAGTCTCATGGTAGCCAGTGACCAACAATTAGTTCGTACGCCATTTGTTTAATCAGGATACTGAAGTGTAAGTGTATCATTGGTTTGGAATCGAGGTTTTCCAACTCCTCTGGATGAACCCTCCGTGTACATCAACCCGATTAAAGAACTGAACATTCGTTCTCTTAATTTCATAAACAACAGTAGTGCTGTGAGAAAACAGTGACTAGGATTTCCCTGTCAGCGGTTGTATGCACGTGTCCATGTTAGAAGCATTTCGAGAGATAGAGATAGCTGATTCTCCACACTGTCAGCCGTACCAGGGCATTCATTAAAAATGAATTATTTAATAAACTAAATCTAGGTATCAATGTAATCCTCTATTAGATAACTTTAACTTTAATCAAAGGTACTTAACAATTCATTATTGTTCAATAGTTATTGATGGTATAGTTTATGGTCTACTTTTATGATAAGGACTTTAATCTAAACATATTGATTAATAGGATAATCATTATATTTCACTATAACATAGATGTATATATATACATAAATATAAACAATTTCCATAGTGAATAAAATACTGCCTTTTCACTCTAAATGTTCACTTAAGAGACAGATAAAACACAAGAAGGGAACGTGTAAGATGTGTGGTAGTTAATCTACACAATCTGTATATATACAAAAAAAAAAATAAAGAAATGATTCAAATTAATCAGATTTATCCAGATTAAATAATATTGAATAGATCTATACATTCAATTATCCTTTAAGAAATTTGTTTCTTTGAAATTATTAACGGTTTGAATTGGGATAAAACTTATTAATTCATAAAAAATAAAGATCGTGAATGTGTACTACTGAGGAGTCACACAATAAGACGAAACGATCATTCAATGCTTCCAAGTATTGTCATGTTGGTCTAGTTTCAATTAACTTCTGATCTCAACTATTGAAATTATTAATCATGTCCATCAACACTCGTTCTGATACAAATAAGGAATAGTTAAATCATCAAAATGGAATTTACTTAGATATTAGATTTGATCTTATAATTTATAGTTGTATTGTATTACTTTCAACTGCTTGTCTGTTAATCAATGTTATCATTCCCATGAATAAATAAAAAGGTATTGCAGTGGATCCAAATAATATTGTATATATGCTTATAGATTACTGTACTAAGAAGTATTAACAAATTTAAAGATAACAAATAAGATTGTATTACACATGTTGTATAATGACGGCACATCCAATATTCTTGTTTTCGTTCCTAATAGACAAGAATTAGACGTAAGCATCCTTTACAATAATAATAATAATAATAGTAGTGGTGGTAGTAGTTGTAGTGGTATTAATGGTAGTAGTAATAGTAGTAGTAGTAGTGTTGTTAGTAGTAGTAGAAGTAGTAGTAGTAGGAGTAGGAGTAGTGGTAGTAGTAGTAGTAGTAGTGGTAGTAGTAGTAGTATTGTTGGTAGTAGTAGTAGTAGTAGTGGTAGTAGTATTAGTGTTGGTAGTAGTAGTGGTAGTATTAGTAGTAGTAGTAGTGGTAGTAGTGGTATTAGTGGTAGTAGTTGTAGTGGTATTAGTGGTAGTAGTGATAGTAGTAGTAGTGTTGTTAGTAGTAGTAGAACTAGTCGTAGTAGTGGTAGTAGCGGTAATAGTAGTAGTAGTAGTAGTAGTAGTAGTAGTAGTTGTTGTTGTTGTTGTTGTTGTTGTTGTTGTAGTTCTTGTAGCATAAAATTACCGACTTTACAAGAAAAAGCTTTTTTTTTATGGATGGACATATTCGGACAATGTACCTTAAGGTTCAAAATTATATTGTAGATCCTACTGTAGTGATAGAGAACACAAGTGGGAACAATCGAATGTATTTCGACACACAATGATAGAACATCCTAGTAAAATCTTAAAAGCATACAGTAAATACTTGATTTAGAAAATGTCTCTCAATTGTCTAAAACCTGACTGTTCCTTTTGCGAATATCAGTTAATTGTCTCAGACTTCATTGTTCTTTCGTTTCCAAATCAATCACTTTTTGTTCTCGTTCTCGTTCTCTTCGATCTTTTTAACGTTCTTCCGCCAGGCATTTCACTTTTGATCGATGATACATACTACTTACATCTGTCGACATCAGTAGCACATACTATAGAATGACCTTCGTTAAGGCTTCAATAAAGGTTTACTAAGATAATATCTGATTGATTGACTATTGAATATTTAAAGTACTCCATTTATGAAGCTATAATATACCTAATATTAATTATATGACACCAATTTTTAACCTTAAGGTAAGATTCCAGTTGATAATGTATTCATTAATGTGATTACATTGGAATGTAATTCTATCTATACTTCCTTGAAAGCTATTACCAATCAATAACTATTGTGTTTTTTATTCGTGAGTATCAATAACTCCATATATTTTTTGATTGAGATCATGAACCGATGGATGTTAGACCACCATTGAAAACCTGAAAGAGCTGGACGGCCGTTTCGTTCTATGGTGGGACTCCTCAGCAGTTCACATCCACGATTTCGCTCGCGGGATTCGAACCCAGGGCCTTCAGTCTTACGAGTGAACGCTTAATAACTAGACCACTGATCTGGCGTTCAAGGGTGTTGATGTTTAACCTCAACCAATTCACGAAATTGCGCAATCATCTTCCATTTTACTGAGGTAGATACCTATATCTACCTGACACGGATTACCTCCACTGGTCACGTGAGGAGTCCCATAATAGAACGAAACGGCCGTCCAATACTTCCAGGTTTTCAGTGCTGGTCTAACATCAATCCGTTCATGATCTCAATCAAATACCTAATAATTTCCACAACCCCTATACTGATAATTATCATGTATTCACTAGTAACTAGCTTCGTGGGGGAATTCTCGGGGTTCTAGTGAGAAGCCATGACAATTGGAGCTTATCCGTGTCGGGTAGAGACACATATCTACCTCAGTACAATAGAAGATGGTCGTGAAATTTCGTGGATTGGTTGAGGTTAGATATTAACACTGTTTGTTGCTGGCTCAGTGGTCTAGTGATTAAGCGTTCACGAGCGAGACTGAACGCACTGAGTTCGATTCCCGCAAGCAGGATCGTGGTTGCCTACTGTTGAGGACAAAACAACCGTCCAATACTTCCAGGTTTTCAATAGTGGTCTAACATCAATCAGTTCATGATCTCAATCAAAAACCTAATAATTTCCACAACCCCTATACTGATAATTATCATGTATTTACTAGTAACTAGCTTCGTGGGGGAATTCTCGGGGTTCTAGTGAGAAGCCATGACAATTGGAGCTTATCCGTGTCGGGTAGAGACACATATCTACCTCAGTACAATAGAAGATGGTCGTGCAATTTCGTGGATTGGTTGAGGTTAGATATTAACATTGTTGGTTGCTGGCTCAATGGTCTAGTGATTAAGCGTTCACGAGCGAGACTGAATGCCCTGAGTTCGATTCCCGCAAACAGGATCGTGGATGCGTACTGTTGAGGACAAAACAGCCATCCAGTGCTTCCAGGTTTTCAGTGCTGATCTAACAATGAAATACTTTATCAATTGTTGTTATTACCAAGAGTTCATATCTTTCATGTATTTCATTTTTATGTTCTATATTAGTTAAATAGTAAATATGATTCAGAAAGTGAAGCTGAAGCTATTAGTTGGTTAAATCAATTAACAAATGAAAATGTACCATTTGGTAGAGAAAATGTTGCCGCTGCATTAAAAAATGGACAAATATTAATCAAGTAAATATAAACAATATTTTTCAAATCTTTTTGAGAATTTTTATAAAAAAAAAAAAAAAAACTTTGATTGTCTCATCGAAGATTGAGAGGAACTATTGACTGAGTATTGTCATTTCTATAAAAGTTATTTCATTGTACTCAATACTATTCAGCTTATTTGAAAACAATACTGTTTTTGTTCGGCTACTGCACAATTGAACAGTTACCAAGATGTCTATTAGGTTTCCAATGAACATTAAAGATAATTATATTTACTGAGCTGTTTGGTTACTCTATGATACATTATATGAATATTTGAAAGATAAAGAACACTTTTCAAATGTCATTGTTACTATTGATCTATTATAACAAAGGAGAGATATAGTTCAAAACTTCATGTGTTTCACTTATATTGAAAGTTTCAGTAACCCTATTGAGTGGGTGAATATAGTAGTTAAACGTATAAAACCGAAATTCTCTATCACTTTCGCCAATCTACTTATGATGTGATATACACAAGGATTCTTATGAGAAATCTAGTATGTATCACTTTAGAAATGTATAACACAGGGAACTAAACATTGTTGATATGCTTAGTTCTTTGGCATCCGTTCAGATACGTTTTTGAAGTAATGGGAGACCAATGAAATCATGAGTGATTGATAGTTTAATTGTCCTCGTAATTTGCTTCCATGGACAAAATGACTAGCCTATAACATTATGTTGGTATTATAAAGAAACATTTGAAATGTATTCCACAACTCTTAGCCCGTTGTTCATACGTAACAATTTTAACAGTTAGTCAATTACGAGAAATGTAGAGCGATGTAACTGAGAATGATATTCATTATATTAAGATACAATTATATGTATGAAGAATATTCTTTTCAATAATTTCCCATCAGCTTCTACAATTACATATCTAAATGAATAATCTATAGAATTGGCCAGGTTTAATACAAAGTATTTCTGTTTAAAGTTTTTAGAGTTAGTTTCCTATGGGATGAGGTCATTAACCTTATGCTTAACCCTCCTCCTTTATCCGAACTTGGGATCCAGAGGGGCTCCGGGTGGAGTATATCATTTAAAATTATTACATATGAATCAAGGATTGTTGTTTGTTATATAAAATGAAATCAGATCGTTCATGTTGGGTCTGACTAACTTGAAGTGTGAACTTGAATCAAGTTTATAAGTGAAATGAGATTGTGAGATAAACGATCAGAAGAAATATGGTCAACATGGGGTGAGAGAGGGAGAATAATATAATTACAACTCGAAAATTACGTAATATGCAGGATAATGTGAATTAGGTCAGATATAGTAGATTTAGGGGTAGATGCTGAATAAGTTTTCCGCCTAGAGTCCCTTTCGGGGGGCTACTGCCGGTCGCAAGCCCGGATAAAGGAGGAGGGTTGGGCATGTGGTTAGCCACCCCATCCCGTAATAACCTAACACGCTAAAAAAACGCTAACCAGTATAATAATGAACATGGGTCCAATTGCGTTACAATGTGATAAAATTGATTATTAACTAATTAGACCTGAAGTTGACCACAGTAGAAGAAACTGCTGAACATATTTGTTTTCGATACAAAGCTTTGGCTTTTTGATACGTATAGCAATTGCTTTAGTCGTCTTCAGGATTCTAAATCTGACCGATTTAGGCACGATATTTTATTGTGAAAGATTGCTCCATATTGGTTGTATGGCCCGTTTATACTAAATGAACTAAAATGTAGCTGTTAACAGTTTTAACTACACCTTTGCTTAAACATACGGAGAGGTGCTCGTAAACCTGAAAAAAAAAACAAATTCTTAGAACACCTACCAATATAACTTGCTCCGTAGTAGTAGTGACTAGTTTAGGTAATTTATCTTTCAACCTCGGTGTGATCATTAGAGGTGTAGAAAAAAGCAATTGTAGTTTATCTGCATTAAAAGTACTTTGGATTGCTCTGTGTAACCTTGGTCCTAGCATTTCATCGGATTCATTGCCTCTAAATTGTAATCGCATATACAGAGGCTTTTTGTTCGCAGTTAGGCATTCCTTATGCTCTCCTTTATTGGTTAAATGTTTATTTTTAAATCTCTCCAAATATCAGTTTTCTTTCAGGGTTGTATACAATGCGTTTGTTTCGTCTTCAACAGCATCTAGAGAGAATATGGTCTTGATCCTATAGTTATATGTCCTAATCAGGTTCCTTTTGTATTGTAGAGGAACAAAACTAAGAAAACTTGTGTATTGGATGGTTGAAGTAGTTTTTTTTTCATGTTTCTTCTTAATCGCCCATCTTTACTTCATGCCGGTAGAATATCAAGAAAGGATGTTCTACCTTTATCTTCTTCTTCACATGTGAATTTTATGGACGGATGAACTTCATTAAATCGCTAGAGCTTGCAAAGGATGAACGTATCGTCCAGATATATGCAGTAAAATAAAAACTTGTCAGTCTGCCGTGCCAGTGCATCATTTTCTGATTTAACGAGAAAAATTTCAGCCAATATGGTATTTAGGGGTGAACCCATCGTGACACCATCTGTTTGTCTATACATTTCACCATTGAATTTGAAGTTTACGTTTGTAGTGCATTTTAGTAATAATTCTCTGACGATCACGGGGATTTTAGTCATAAGTCGATCAATGTTAGACCACTCTTGCAAACGTGGAATAACTGCGTGACCGTCTCGTACTTGCATAGGACTCTCCAGCAGTGCTCATCCGCAATCCCGCACTCACGAGTCGAATCCAATGACATATTAACACCGTTGTTACTTTTGAGGTAGTTTGATATGTAGTTAATATAGAAGTATGTTTACTATTGATTGATTACTGACAATTGACCAATATCATGAGTGTCAAGTCGTTCTTAATGGTGATGGAATTCTACCAATCAACTTTCAATTAGCCTACTAGTCTAAGTGATTCAACATTGCGTTCACGATGTTAAGATGGAATGTAGTGATTTTCTAGGTTCATATTTCCTTGTAGACTAGTTCCAACCACCATCTTACAAGAAAGTGTGTTTAAAATGCCATCCGGGCAAACAATCGTCATGCAAAGGTGATGAACATGTAAAATTCAATTTAAATAAAGTTTTCAGTATACACAACAATAAGAATACTACCCTTAGTTTAATGAGATCTCAGTAATAATAGTATGATTCAATTGCAAAAATACACTTCTAACGTTATTGGTTTGTTTATTTGTTAAATAAAAAAATGTACTTGAATGGATCTTTATATCATCCAATAAATAGGTTGATTAATGTCGTGTTTGATGGTACTGCATCTCTTCCATCAGCTGCAGCTAAAATGAAAAGACCATTCAAAGCTAATACAATGACCGCTCCCTTTAAACAGGTAAGTAGAATGGTAGGTTGAGAACGAATAGTAATATTAAGATTACCTGATGTCTAGTGGCCTATAAAAAGAAAATTTTTTTTCCTTTTGATGGAATTTTATTCTCTGAGCTGGATGATTTTGGTCGTGTTTATTTGAGGATCTTGTAATATGCATTCGTTATCATTAGATGTACCATTTTTTTTCCACTTTGTTAAGCTATTCTCCATTCCAATGGGTAGTTGGTTAGAGATCTGTATCTTGCACTTGTTGGTGGAACATTCTGACGAAGATACTTGTGGAGAAAATACAGTTGTACTCAAGTGGAAGCCTGTCTTTTAGCGATATTCTCCTATTTTCGAACAACGAGAAGCGTATTACGCTTATATGATTTTGAGATGGTGGAGAAGATTTGTATCTCAGATGAAGTTTTGTTTTGGTTCATGATCAAACCATCCAGCTTAGAGAACTCCGGTATCAGCATTATATTTCAGATATTTATCTATTATCTTCCACTAGCTAATTAAACACAAGTTTTTCATATCACTTCCTTCCTCCACCTCAAATTGAAAACTTCTCTTATGAATTGATTTGGAATAATGTGACAAAACCACATACTGTAGACTCAATTGAATATCATAAGAATAAAATTGAGAGTAATGAACTTGAACTTTAAAAAAACTTTCTGGGAATTTCGGCTGACATTTGGCGATTAGATCTGAATTGATGATGACTTCTAAACTATCTATGAACTTATTTTTATCATTGCCCAATCCCACTTCATTGTTGCATGGTACCTTCTCATTGAATTGCGCTTGATCATTAGAATAAGAAGAATATGACATTAGAACGTATGAAAGTTGCCAAGAGTTTACTTTTTCGATCTCTTCCTCCATCCTAAAACTATTCTTCATTTCAATAGGAAATTTATTTACATCATAAAACATATCGGAATGGTCAGGACGTTAAGTCATGAGTTTTCTTGTACATGTTACATATTGTCCAAGATTTTGGGATGTCGTTATTTATCAGCTATGAACAATAATGTTTCCATCACACGTTAATTTTCATAATGTTTGTGCTTGTTACATAACTTTTATTCCAGTTTATTAGTAGTATGACTTATTTATTGCTCACAACAATACCCACAGTATTTGGAATATGGAATAACGGCGTTTTGTGAGGCCGTTAAAGGGTCTGATGTTTTTATCATGCCAATATATCTCTGGTTTCTGTGTACAATTAGGAATTTGATTATTTTGGCATATGTTTCTTAAGTGTGCCAATGAGTGGCAAATGAGATTTAACAAAAAACGTTTCCATTAAACTGATGTATTTTAATTCGTAACTGTGTAATCTATTGAAAGTACGAAACGAAAAACACAAGTTCTGCTATGACTGAATACTAGATTTGAAGGTAAAATTGTACTCAAAACTAGATTATAATTCTTACTTACTTACTTACTTACTTACTTACTTACGCCTGTTACTCCTCGTGAAGGAGCATAGGCCGCTCACCAGCATTCTCCATACAACCCTGTCCTAGGCAATCCTTTCCACCTCTTTCCAGTTCTTATTCATCATTTTCATATCTGATTCTATTTCCCGACGTAATGTGTTCTTTCGCCTTCCTCTTTTCCGCTTCCCTTCAGGATTCCAAGTTAGCCCTTGTCTCGTAATGCAGTTTGATGATTTCCTCAATGTATGTCCTATCCATCAACTCCATCATCTTTTCCTAATTTCCTCTTCAGCTGGAAGCTGGTTGGTTCTCTACCACAAAAGGCTGTTGCTGATGGTATCCGGCCAATGGATGTTGAGTATCTTGCGTAGACAACTATTGATAAATACTTGTATCTTCTTGATGATGGTTGTTGTAGTTCTCCAAGTTTCAAGCTCCGTACAATAGAACTGCCTTGACGCTCGTATTGAAGATTGTGACTTTGATATTGGTTGAAAGTTGTTGAAGGAATGCCGCTCTAGCTTTGCCAATCCTCGCCTTGATGTTTGCATCTGAACCTCCTTGTTTATCGACGATGCTTCCCAGGTATGTGAAGGATTCCACGTCTTCCAGAGTTTCGCCATCAAGAGTGATTGGATTGCTGTTCTCCGTGTTGTGTTTGAGGACCTTGATTTTTCCCTTTGTGTATGTTGAGGCCAACTGATGCAGAGACTGCTGCTATGCTGGCTGTCTTTATCTGCGTTTGTTCGTGTGTATGTGATAGGACGGCTAGGTCATCTGCGAAGTCCAAGTCGTCTAATTGGTTCTGAGCTGTCCATCGTATGCCGTAGTTTCCCTCACATGTCAAGGTCTTCATAATCCAGTCGACCACCAGAAGAAACAGGAAGGGAGAGAGTAGACAGCCTTGTCTTACTCCGGTCCTTACTTGGAATGCGTCTGTCAGCTGTCCTCCATGCACTACTTTGCACTGTAGTCCATCGTATGAGTTCCGGATAATGTTGACAATCTTCTCAGGAACTCCGTAGTGTCGAAGAAGTTTCCATAACCTCCTCCTATCTACACTGTCAAATGCCTTCTCATAATCAATGAAGTTGATGTAGAGTGACGAGTTTCACTCAATTGATTGTTCGACGATGATCCGTTGTGTCGCAATCTGGTCTGTGCACGACCGGTCCTTACGGAATCCAGCTTGTTGATCTCGAAGTTGAGCGTCAACTGCGTCTTTCAACCTGTTCAGTAACACTGTGTTGAAGACTTTACCTGGTATTGACAGTAGTGTAATGCCTCTGTAGTTTTCACACTTGCTCAGATCTCCTTTCTTTGGAATCTTGATGAGGTGTCCTTCTTTCCAATCCATCGGCACTTGTTCCTCCTCCCAAATCTTCTTGAATAGAAGATGAAGCATGCTTGTAGTTACATCGATGTCTGACTTCAACGCTTCAGCTGGTATATTGTCAGGTCCTGCTGCTTTCCCGCTCTTGATTTGTCTGACGGCCATTCTGATTTCTTCTGTCGTTGGTGGATTGACATTTATAGGAAGATCTGTGTGTGCTGCTTCGATGTCCGGTGGATTCATTGGAGCCGGCCTGTTCAGGAGTTCCTCGAAGTACTCTGCCCATCTGTTGCGCTGTTGTTGAATCTCAGTGATTGGTCTTCCTTCTTTGTCTTTGACTGGTCTCTCTGGTTTACTGTATTTCCCTGCAAGCTTCTTCGTCGTATCGTAAAGCTGTCTCATATTTCCTTCTCTTGCAGCTTTTTCCGCCGTCGTTGCTAGTTCTTTCACGTATTTTTGCTTATCAGCTCTAATGCTCTTCTTCACTTTCTTGTTTGCTTCTATGTACTCTGCTTGTGCTTGGACTTTCTCTGCTCTTGTTCGACTGTTGTTAATTGCTGTCTTCTTGTTCTTTCTTTCTTTGATCCTGTCCAGTGTTTCTGTAGAGATCCATTCCTTGTGATGATGCTTCTTGGGGCCCAGAACCTCTTGACACGTTGAAGTTAATGTTTCTTTGATACCTTTCCAGCTATCCTCCATAGTAGTTTCTTCTTCCTTCAGTAGATCCTGTAAGACTTGGAACCTGTTGTTGAGAGCTACCTTGAATTCATTGAGTTTGTCAGTATCTCGAAGGAAGGCTGTATTGAACCTTTGTGGTGCTGTTTGTCCAGTTGTCCAGTTCTTCTTTAGCTTCAGTTTCAATTTGACCACAACCAGGTGATGATCTGAAGCTATGTCCGCTCCTCTCCTGGTTTTCACATCTTCCATTGTCCTTCGGAAATTTTTATTGATGCAAATGTGATCTATCTGGTTCTCTGTGGTGTGGTCCGGTGAGATCCATGTAGCTTTGTGTATACGTTTGTGTGGAAATGTTGTACTGCCTATGACCAATTTATTGAATGCACACAGATTTGCAAATCTTTCCCCGTTTTCGTTTCTCTCTCCCAGTCCATGTAGTCCCATGATGTCTTCATATCCGGTGTTGTCCATTCCGACTTTGGCGTTTAGATCTCCCATCAGAATGGTGAGGTCCTTTCTTGGGCACTTCTCTATGATTGATTGCAGCCTCTCATAGAATTGATCTTTAACGTCGTCGTTACTATCATTGGTGGGTGCATAACATTGGATAATGTTCATTGTGATCCCCTCCTTCTTTGTTTTGAATGATGCTTTGATGATTCTGGATCCGTGAGATTCCCATCCTACAAGTGCATTTCGTGCTACTTTGGACAGTATTAGAGCAACTCTCTGAGTGTGTGGAGCATCTTCCTCTTCGTGACCGGAGTATAGCAGCATCTCTCCCGTATTTAGACTTTGTTGTCCAGCTTGGGTCCAATGGGTTTCACTGATTCCCAGTACTGCCAAGTTGTATCTCCTCATTTCCGTCGCTATTTGACTGGTCTTCCCGGTCTCCCACATTGTCCGGACGTTCCATGTACCTATAAAAATTGTTGCTCTGGTTGTTAGAAGGGGCATCGGCCTCGTGGCTTCCGAAGGAACTCGGCTTTCACTATGAAGCGTCATATTACCTCTAACTCCCAGGGCAGAGTTTAAATGGTTTGAGTTATTTTTTCTGGTTAGCGTTTTTTTAGCGAGTTAGGTTTCTACGGGATGGGGACGCTAACCCCATGCCCAACCCTCCTCCTTTACCCGGGCTTGGGACCGGCAGTAACTCTGGAAGAGCTACAGGCGGAGTTAGATTATAATTCGGACAAGTCAATTATCATGAAAAAGATTGAGATTTGTAGATTGTAGTAATTTCAGTGGTTTTGATCATGAGTCAGTTGAAGCTAGATCACAACCATAGAAAACCTGGAAGAACTGGACAGCCATTTCGTCCTATTATGGGACTCCTCAGCAGTGCGCATCCACGACCTCTCCCCCTGCTAGATTCAAACCCAGGACCTACTGGTTTCGCGTGCGAGCAGTTAACCACTAGACCACTGAGCTGGCCGGTATCCAACGAACAGTATTAATGTCTAACTTCAACTAATCCATGAAATTGAGCAACACATCCATCATTGTCTTCAGTGAGTTACTATCTCACAACAGTCCTGGTTGAACTCCACTGGTCACTACTTCTCACTAGAACTCCAGGATATACCTCTTGAAGCCAGTCACTAGTGAGCATATGTTGATTAATATCAGAAGGGGATTTGTGGAGATTATATTAATTTCAATGGTTAAGATCATCAGTCAGTTGACGATTGACTTCGTCACCACTATTATTTCTTTCAGATTTGTACTTGTCTGAGTTATTGGTGAAAGAAACAAAGTTAATGAAGAAGCAAATGTTTCATAACTCATATTCTTTGTACGCTATGAATACTGTTATTTCTGTGTAATTTTTTTTAGATGGAAAATATTCAAACATTCCTCAATGCAGCAGTTGCCTATGGAGTACCCAGAGCTAGTTTATTTCAAACCGTTGATTTGTATGAATTACGTAATATGCCACAAGTTTTAAATACATTACTACAACTTGGAACAGAGGTTAGTTTAATGAATAATTACATTGTTATAATTTCTTTTATTACGACCCAACTATTCCTATTGCTTAGTATTCATGGACAATGAATTCACTTGACAAGTCTTCAAATGAGAACACGGTTAAACAGGAATGAAATTATATTCCAAATAACCAAAATAAATGGAAGTAAGAAGCAGAATAAGAGAAAACTTTAATATATTTCAATGGTTAAGATCATGAGTCAGTTGAAGCTAGACCACCATGGGAAACCTGGAAGCGCTGGACGGCTGTTTAATCTTATTGTGGGACTTCTCAGCAGTGCGCATCGATAAGAAAATTCTAGAGTCCTCTCCAAATATCCACTAGCGCTGATTGGATAAGAAATAGCCAATTAGAGTGCACCAACACAATCGCGCATGGAATAAGCTTCAATCCAATCTATATTCCTCTAACATATATATTTTGTTTTGATAATTATTTATTGTATCTCATTTATTTACCATGAAATTAAGTATAAATTGGATCAAACTATTTATCAAAAATCGTATTTGGCCGATCGATAGAATTGAAGATCAATTACAATCCTAAACAACAATGAGGGGAGATACAAGCAAACAATACCAAGTGAAATTAAACTTCATCCTATTGCACAAGCAAGTAGCTATAAGGACTCCGTAGATAAGTGGATAACGCGATGGCGTGAACATCGAATCCGGGATGCATGTCCCAAATAGGACGAAACGCACGTTTGCATTGATGAAATTTATGTCCAACCAAAGTCATCAATTTGTGGTCTAAAGAAACTCCTTCATTTCGTTTTAGTTGTATACCGAAAATAGAAATTACCCGTCTTATTCTGAGATAAAGCCAATAACAAATTATGTTGATTTCACATCTGATTTGAGGCGATATCAGTAACATAAGGACTCTCAGTACTCACTAACCATTACATTTCATTGTCTCTCTAAAGTTGGTCGTCATACATAGTATTAGCCTAATTCTGTACAATAAGGAGTTATGTTTATTTTATTCTCCTTGTGCCAATTGTGATATATTTTATGAATGTGTTGATAACATTCCGCAGCATAGTAAATTGTATGACTGAATTTTACAGTTACTCAAAGGTTCTTGATTAGATACTATTTGAAGGTAAACATTTTTTCCACATTTTTAAAGCACTTAAATAAACTAACATTGGAAGATCGTTTTCATCAGAAAGCTACATCAACCGTCGAATAACTAGAATTTGATTCCAAAATGTTTTTAACATTTTTAAACTACTTAATTAGCAATAAGTAGATAAACGATGAAAGCAAAACATTTTGAGGAACGGAATGATCAGTCATGATAAAAAATGAGTCTTGCTATAAGATATCTTTTGTCTATGCATGCTTGTCATAAGACACTCGCTTGGTATTTATAACTGGTGAGGATCTTTCCATCAGTGGAGCTGGAGAAAGTGCTTAACGTATAGTTGAGGTACCAAGTGACGTCATTTCGGCTCGAGATACATCTCGTCCATCGGTAACTATCCATATTTGCATTAAACGGTTTGAGATGCCTAGATGCTTAGAATATTAGGTGATTGATTCAGACGAGTTTGATTCTGATGAATTCGTGATTGAAATCCAAACAGCTTTGTTTGAATAACCGTTAGAATTCACTGGCTATGACATTGTGGAGAACTGCTTGGAATTCTTACTTTCAAATACTTTATACATTCTTATATTTTTTTATATTCCCACTGATTATTAACGATAGTAAGAGAGATAGAATTAAGTAAGAATTTTGTCTTAAATCTTAATTGAGGATACTAAATCTTTCCATAATAAGCAATTTTGTATTCAGATACAAACAGTTTCATATCAAATAAATGTTGAAGAGTTTGTAAGATCTTTAATAATTACTGTTTAATATTGAATAATGGTTGAAAGAAATGTTTCTTCTTCTCAAATAGTGTCAACGTAACAATTTTAATGGACCCGTATGTGGTCCCAAGCCAACTTATGAAAATAAACGTGAGTTCACTGAAGAACAACTTAGAGCATCCGAAGGTATAATTGGTTTGCAAGCTGGAACTAATAAATGTGCTAGCCAAGCCGGAATGAGTCATGGTGGACCACGACATATTACAGATATTAAAGTAGATGCTGCTTCAAAAGAAGGTCAAGGTGTTATTGGTCTCCAAATGGGTTCAAACAAAGGTGCTACTCAAGCTGGAATGAGTCATGGTGGACCACGACATATTACAGATATTAAAGTAGATGCTGCTTCAAAAGAAGGTCAAGGTGTAATTGGTCTTCAAATGGGTTCAAACAAAGGTGCTAGTCAAGCTGGAATGAGTCATGGTGGTCAAAGACATATTGCAGATATTAAAGTTGGTGATATGTCAAAAGAAGGTCAAGGTGTTATTGGTCTTCAAATGGGTTCAAACAAAGGTGCTAGTCAAGCTGGAATGAGTCATGGTGGTCAAAGACATATTGCAGATATTAAAGTTGGTGATATGTCAAAAGAAGGTCAAGGTGTTATTAGTTTACAAATGGGTGCTGGTAAAGATCAAGTAGCTTCACAATCTGGTATGAGTTTTGGAGCACAACGTCATATTGTTGATTCACATTAAAATAATTATCAATTACTTCTAATTTTCATTTAGTTCATAAAGCTTTCTGCTTATTTATAATTATATCATCAAAATGATCATTCCTATCTTATCTTATTTGTGTTATTAATATGCTTATCATTAAACCATTTTCATATGACCATTAAAATGGATCATATTTATGTTCAATAGTTTCACACTATTGATAGAATGAGATCATTATAGAATGTTTCTTTTTTTTTTGGTGTTTATTTTTGTTGTTGCACTTTCACTATCAAATTGTTATTCATGTATAAGAAAGAAAAATTTTCCCGCCTTTCGCTATTTAAGTTTATTGTTTACTATTTATTTTTAAAAGTAACGCTTTATTAACGTTTTTTTCTCTCTCTCTCTCCCCCCTCTCTCTCTCTCTCGAAAATAAAAAAAATTGTTGCTATGATATTTTTCATGATTTCCTTTTATTGTTAAGATCAGTTTTGATGCATAAAATGGACCAAACAAAAAATGATTTTTTGTTTGTTTTAAAATTATGTATTTATTCATATTGTTTATCATGGATCTGTTTTATCACTGCTTCTCTGCTATCACTATCACTATCACAATAATAATAATAATAATGATAAAAGGTTTGTAATAAATAGTGTTCCTTTAACATTCATTGGTTAGAATGAATTTCAACAAACCTTATTTATGAGATATTAACACATTGATGACAATAGTGGACGATGACGTGACTTCGTGGATTGGTTGAAGTTAAACATTAACACCGTTGGATGTTGGCCAGCTCAGTAGTCTAGTGATTAAGTGCTCGCGAACGAGACTGATAGGTTCTGGGTTCAAATCTTGCAGGGGTTGAGATCGTGGATGTGCACTTCTGAGGAGTTCCACAATAGGACAAAACGGCCGTTTAGTGCTTCCAGGTTTTCCATGGTGGTTTAGCTTCAATCGATTCATGAATTCATAATTAAAAAGACCTCAATAAGTTTAACCAAAAATCCAATTTGATAATAATATCTTTTAGGTTTGGCAATAGGTTAGATGTTATATAATCTACAAGCTATCGGCTTATATCTTGTTACCAGTGCTACTTTGATTTGATTTAAGGTAGCTAAAGATAATCAACATGGTGATAAAAACTTGGGTTTCATAACAGTTGCTACTGCAACAGATATCCATATGTAGTTGAAAAAAGTAACACGAAATGTTTCAGTCAAAGATAATATTACTAGGATTTATTGACAACAACTAATCTAATGTGGGATTGAGACTAGTACACTAACCATTCTCAAATCATCTATCTTTTAATATTAATTGATTTCAACGTGTTGCATATCACTATGGCAACTATTTTTAGTAAATTAATCATTAACATGAAATTCATATGGCTTTAGGTGATTAGTTTCAATAAGTAATAAACTTTGAACTTGAAAGCAACTAAGAACGTGACAATATGATACTGGTTATTAGCTAAGTGATTAATTAACGGCGAGACTCTAATTTAGGGATGACCTTTGAATGAATTTTAAGTGACCTGCCGTTTTATCTGTCTGCACGATGCATCCTACTCCTCCGAATGATTGGTGTACAAGTGTTATTTTAGTTGCACGGCAGTACTCATACCACTGAACTGCTGAAGTTTCATAAACAACTGCAAACGTCGCAGCCAGTGTTACTGGTGTATTTATTATCCAATTTGCAACTATTATCATAATCTGATTCAGTTTCCGTAGCAATCGAGCAAAGAAAGTCCCCGTTCTAGCAGACTTTCTCCTCCAACATGAAGGATAACGAAATATAATCTCACCACGGTTATTTGCACACTTTACTGCAGTCATTTGATAAGAGCAGTCTCACGTACAAGAACGTTTTAGTAATCCTATCCCTTGTAGCCTCTCAATAATCACCCCTTCTCTAAAATCCGCTGTAAACCGATCATATGTGAGCATCAGGTGTTAAACTTGTCTCCGTGATCTTGAAACGGCTCAAACGCTTCTGATTGGCTCGTCCCTAAATTAGAGTCTCGCCGTTTCCGTTTCTTCTTACTTCTTGATCAATCATGATAGTTTAATATTGACTGGTTGACAGTTAGATATTAACAGTTTGGAAATCAACATCTGATTAATATTTATCCTTTTCAATGCATATTACCAACCACTATGATGTCTCTGATTGTTGTTTTTTTCTGTAACTTGTACAGTGAAAGGTTGTAAAATTTTCTTAAACATGCTTGAATAGATCGTGCAATTAATAGACATAATGCGGTGTTAAAATAAACAAAAGAAACAGATAATTTGTTAAAATATCAAAATGGTATGGAAGAATAGGTAGCCCAAATATTCGTGCAAATCGGAAGTTCTACCATAGATTTAATAAATATTATTGTATTCAAAATATTTAATATTTAAGGCTGATTAATTAGTGAATAAAGAATTATTTTTATGAGTCAGTTGAAGCTAGAACACCATGGAAAACCTGGAAGCACTGGACGGCCGTTTCTTCCTAGTATAGGACTCCTCAGCAGTGCGTATCCATGATCTCACTCCCCCACGAAATTCTAACCCAGGATTTATCAGTCTTGCGTGTGAGCGATTATCCAGTAGACCACTGAGCCGGCCGGTATCCAACGCTGTTAATATCTAAGTTCAACTAATCCACGAAATCGAGTGATACATCCACCATTGTCTTCAGTGATCTAGCGGTTAAGTGCTCGCACGCGAAACCAGTAGGTCCTGGGTTCGAATCCCGCAGGGGGCGATGAAGTTTATGTGCACTGCTGAAGAGTTCCACAATGGGATGAAACGTCCGTCCAGTGCTTCTAGGTTTTCCATGGTGGTTTAGTTACAACTGACTCATAATCTTAACCAGTGAAATTACTACAATCTCCACAAAACCCATCTGAAATTATATTTATTTAGTTCGTTTTTTGGATAGGATCAGTTCTAACATGTGAAATTTATAAAATTCATGAATTAAATTACAATAAAACTGATTTAAATTGAATGAATAAATGTCTATAATTGAATTATTGTTTGAATGTAAATATCATTTCACCCCAAAACACAATCAACACGCATATACTTCATAATCATATCAAGATATAAAAGGTTCTTGTCAGAAAGGAGGTTAACAGTTCGAATTCATGAGTTCAATGCTTCGAGCATAGAAAAGCAATCCATAGATAAAACATTAAATCTTTAGATCTAGTAACGAATATTCTAGGTTCAAACTAGTCATTTAAGATTTTTAAGTTCACATATCTAACTTCATTCAATTCGTATTATTAAAGGATAAATATCGAATACTTTGTAATATACTGCATACTTACTTACTTACTTACTTACTCCTGTTACTCCTCGTGAAGAAGTATAAGCCGCCGACCAGCATTCTAAAATCTACTCTGTCCCGAACCTTCTTTTCTACTTCCATCCATTTCTTGCTCATTTTTCTCATGTCTATCTCCTGTTCCCGACGTAATGTGTTCTTTGGTCTTCCTCTCCTCCTCACATGGCCTTGAGGATTCCATGTGAGGAATTGTCTTGTGACGCAGTTCAGTGTTTTCCTCAATCTGTGTCCTATCCACTTCCAGTGCTTCTTCCTTATTCTTCATCCACTGGGATCTGGTTTGTTCTCTCACACAGTAGGTTGTTGCTAATAGTCGCGGGCCAACCGATCCGAAGTATTTTGCTTAGAAAACTGTAAATAAACACTTGTATCTTCTGAATGATGGCTTTCGTAGTTTTCCAGGTTTCCATCCAACACACTAGAACTGTCTTAACATTTGTATTGAAATTTTGACTTTCCTGTTGGTTGCCGATTGTTTTGAGTTCCGGATATTCTTCAGTTGTAAATATGCTACTCTTGTTTTGCCGATCCACGCATTCACATCTGCATCAGATCAACCGTGTTCATCAATGATGCTGCTCAGATATGTAAAAATGTTTACATCTTCGAAATGTTCTCCGTCAATTGTGATTGGATTGTTATATGCTGTGTTGTATCGTAGACTCTTGCTTTTCCCTTTGTGTATATTGAGACTTATTGCTGCTGAGGCTTCAGCTACACTGGTTGTCTTTTCCTGCATTTGTTGTTGCGTATGCGATAGAAGAGCCAGATCATCTGCAAAGTCTAGATCATCCAATTGCATCCTAAAAAGAACGTATACTAAGGTTTATTGAAGCCTTAGACATACGAAAATTCAAACCCCCCTTTATGTATCCAAAGACAATTTGTTCTCACCCTAAACCAACCCTGGTAATAATAGCTTATTATCCATCATCTCAAACAGCAGTTAGGCTTTGTATTTTTTTCTGTACTTTCATGACTTCTTCATCATTGATAGGTATGTTATGCCATAAACACTTTGGTTTGCATTCAATGTACTTTAGTGGCCCATTATCTGACTTCAATTGGATAGTACGAATGTGATTGAATGATTAATGTTAAACTATAAATATCTATGTAAAGATGGATTGTGGCTAGTAGTGGAATCCAGCTTGACGCGGGTTTTGTCCTACTTGGGACTCGTCAAATGGATGTACCTGCATTCCAAACTTGATGTTCACTCCGGGACTCGAACCCGATACCGTCCGCTTCAAACACCATCACGTTATCCACTTATCTACTGAGTTCTGATAGGCAATTTGCACAGGATGCACATATACCAACATGAGACTGATCAATTGCAGTCCTAAATAACAATGGGAAGGTACCAGTTAAACAACACCAAGTGAATTTATACATATCTATCTAAATAAATAATTATCGACTTAATCCATGTTAGTGAATATAACGGAATTAAATAAGCTGGATACAAGAATGAATTTTAAATATGTATATTTCATTCACTCAGTGATTTGAACAGACAGTCAGGGAAACGAAATAACGAGGGAAGAACGAACCAGATTAAAGAAGGCAAGTGAGACAAGTCAATTTAATGATAAGAAGTGTACACACAGATATGCTAGTTGATAAGTGAATAATTAACAAAGTCAAAATGTAGCTTAAGAGGGATGAATAAATTGATCAATCCAGATGTTAGAAACAACAGATCAAGGTTCATAATCAAAATATCATTTTAATAATTTAACAAATATCTCAATGGTTAAGATCATGAGTCAATTGAAGCTAGATCACAACCATGGAAAACCTGAAAGCATTGGACGATCGTTTCGTCCTACTATGGGACTCCTCATCAGTGCGCATTCACAATCCCGCTCCATACAACCCCTTTTGATCATTTTAATTATGTCAACAATAACAACAACAACAAAAAATACTATCTAGCACCTTTTCTATATATTGATAATAATCAACCATTTATAGAGTGTCTATATCATATAAACAAATGAACTTAATTCTTATATACAATAGACCATAGTAACAGGGTGGTTACCTGTTCATAACACCTATCTATACATCAATATAATATGAATGAAATAGATTTATGAAAAACTAAACAATCATCATTCATTAATATTTGTCATTACATTCATATGATGTCGTTTTGATGATGATGATGATGATGATGATGATGATACAATCACTGTAATCATGTGTATCATTTTCCCCTTTCGTTTTATGTATAGACTTGATCATAGTGTCTGACAATGATTAACTTAATCAAATTGAATAGAAAATAAGATCAATGATT